GACGTCGCAGCCGAGCGGCTTGAGGTGCGCAATGGCTCGAAGAAGCTTGATGGCCTCGTGCACGTGGAGCCGCGAGTCGCACTGGAGGCACTTGTACGCAAAGCGCAGTCTGGGCTTCCAGTTGGCATGCGTCACGCCGCGTGCATTGGCGGGCAGCGGGATCAAGTGGCTCGTTTGCGTCAGGCTATCCGCTGTCGACACAGGATCCTGCGCCGCCGTGGTCGATGCGCTGTGGACGAGGAAGGTGAGGTCGACAGGCGACGAGACCGCGGCGCCCGTGAGCTCACTGCCGGCCACCCCGAGCTCCAATCTAAAGACCACCACATGAATGCAGACAAGTTGTCCATATATATTCTCGTCGTACCGCAGCAGCTTGTCGACGTCGCGCAGCTGCGCATAGAGCGACGTGAGATCCGATGTCGCGTCGAGGAGTGCCGCGACACGAGGCTGAACACCCATCTAGTGCACGAGCATATGACGCACGCTCGTCATCCTACCGCGTGACGCACCGCCAGAGCAAACACGCGCACGTCGTTGTGCGTGCACATGAGCTGGTGCAGCAGGACGACCGAGAGGTACTAGAAGGAAACAAGAAGGTATCCTCCTGCAGCTCGCTGCAACCATAGCCAAGTACGTGGAGCGTCGCGTGCCCAGCAACCGGAAACGATCGCAGCGAGAGGCCAATGACCACCACGAAGCTCTTCTTGAGGCGGCGTGGGAGACAAGCGACGTCGTCGGCGCGCGCGCGCCACGTATCCACGAGCTCCTGCAAGGCGATCGTGGCGCCCTACCAACGTGCTCTCACGACGCACCAGTGAGATGCCACGGACCGTGGCGTTGCCGGCGCGGCAGAGCGCAGGCAGCCGCAGTGAGAGGTACTTGGCGCGCCGAAGGCCATCTACAGACGAGCGTCGATAGCAAGCAAGCGTGCTGACGTGGCAGGGCGACGCACCGACAAACGGGAAGACTGCGACCATCGCGTCTATAAATAAGCGTGTCACTGAGGTGGCAGCCTGCAGCCGATCCCCGCGAGGAAGAGTCGCACCCAACTGGCCTCCTCTGCGACGGATTACAACGCGTCAATCGCAGGTGTAGGTCACTGCGTCCCTACGTGGCCGTACGTGCCCATGGCTGCGATCCTGAGCTGCCACCTCGCACACCCAGAAGCGATAAGAAATGAGAGCCCCGCTCTGTGGTACCGGTATGATATTGCATGCGCATAGCGATCGATCTATCCCGCGAGGAGTATTGATGCTACCATGCACTACATTTTTGTAGCTCGACGCATTCGCTGACGCATCAAGG